CACTATGGTGCTATTCCATTTAACCTGTTTGCAGTCGTTTGGAAAAGTTGGTCGAGGTTGCTGGACACTTTCTGTGGAAACAACTTCATGTTCCCCAAACAACAGTGTCGATTCCCTACTGTACCCTGCTGAAACTAAGGGGAGTAGACAAGGCAAGCTTGTTCGAACTGCTTCCAGTTCCACATCCCTTTTAACCTGGTTGAAAGTATTTTTAAAGTCTAATTTAATTAATGCCTTATTATCTGGGAGGTGATTAATATAGGCTCGTGCTGCATGAGCTGCTGCTTCACAGCCATGAGGGACACCGAAACCTAGTTCATGGGGTCGAAGCATCGTTGCAGCTTCTATGCTCATGTTTCTGACAGCTGCCCTGGTAACGAGGCGCCGAAGACCCACGGCAATGGGTCTGACTCCACCATCCTTCTTCTTAAGGGCACAAAGGGATGCTCCGAAGAATAAACTTTTAATTGTATCTGGGATCAACCCAGAGACAGTTGTCGACAAACTTCGTGACCTCTGACAGTAGTGTCTCGGCAACTTCGCCGAGAACTGGGTTTGTCATCTCCTTGAGGTGCTGAGGTCTTACTCCAGTGTATCCCCCTGCTGAACCTGGCGGAAATGACATGATGGCTTAGTATACCTCTTGACACTTAGAGGAATAGAGGTCCCAGATCTGGGACATTTGTGTCCCAAGCAGTGGGTTCCCATAGTACTCTGGGAGGGTGCTTCTCTCTCAGTGAGTCGGCGGTAGCGGTATTTCTAGGGGCGATTGTGTCTTCGCTGGTAAGTAACCTAATTGCCCCTACTGTGTTGCCCTCTTCATTTTTTTTGGTCATTTGTGTTCTTAGTTTAAAATTGTCATTGGAACTTTTGGGTCTGCCACGACGGTTTTGGCGTTGATGAGGGATGGGGATCACGTTGTCAGCTCTGGGGAAATTATTTATTGCCCTAGTGACTGATGAGGCTAGCGACTTGCCTCCTCTTGCAGGTACGCCTAAGCAAATATTGCCAAACAGGAGCAAATTATGCCATGCTTTGATGGTGGCCGCAGCATTAAGATTTGCTGACCGTTCATTCACTTTCCTAAGAAGGTCTGTATATTTCCCTGCTGCAAATAGGAGCAACTCGGTCGCGCACCCCGCTACTACCACTGAGCTAACCGTGCAATCTCCGCTCTTTCTATGGTAATAACGGATGCTATACCGATCATGTAAGATGTTAACACTCGGGCCGTCATACGAGGATGAAAACCAGTAAACAGAGAGAGAGAGAGAGAGAGAGAGAGAGAGAGAGAGAGAGAGAGAGAGGAAGAGTGAGGCAGAGCGAGAGCGAGAGCAAGGGAGGGAGAGCGAGAGCGACTGAGGGCGAGGGAGAGTGAGACACTAGTGAGGGAGAGTGAGATAGAAAGATAGAGAAATTCGTAGTCACAGCCGATCGTATGAGTTACCGAGTAACGCTGCCACCACCCTGAGTTACCGGACAGGGGACCGGAGTGAGATTCGTAGGTCTTGCAAATGGAATAACCTACCAGGACAGGTGTAGGGGACAATTCAACGGTACAAGGATCCTGGCCTGACACTCGAATAATCCTGACCACTTGGGAACTATAGAGTACACAAGAATAAGGCGGGACACACCCAATACTAACACCACAACACAGGATGGACGGGGGAGGAGTACTGGATAAGTAAGGACACTAGGTCACTGGGGCAAAGGGGACGGTAGGCCCAATATCACTAAGACAATGAACCATTACAACATTTACTAACACTTGACAATATATGACTTTATTATATGACTATATGACTTTCAACTCTGACCTCCTCGTGACCCGGTGACCGTTGACCTGTCCCTGTGGTTAACTTTTACAGAGGTGTAACTTTTTCCATTGTCTGCCGCCGCCTGACAGGCGCCGCGCCTGTGGCTTGTTCATGCTGTTATGATGTTCATGTTTACTACTATGTACTGCTCTCTTGTTACAGAGGTAGGTACTGGCCAGTGTGGCAGCGCACGTGTAGTCCCACACCACTAGTTTACCATCTTTCCAAGGAAGCAAGGTGACTCCATCTGGGCGCTTCTGAGGGTCGTTAGGTCTGAATAAGTGTGGTTCTCTTTGTGCCGGGCAGCGGGCTGTGGCGAGGCTCCTCTTGATGATGTCGTTGACTTCACTGTGCCTCCAGTGCCATCCCCCTGTGCTTTGGCAGAGTAGGCTATGGTGTACCTGTCAGCCACCACCTCTCTGCATATACACCTATATTTGGTGTGGATTGGGGCAGCAAGGCGGAGGGCCACAGCAATTTGGAGGACGTGTGGTGTGAGACGTGTGCATATATGTATATATATATATATATATATATATATATATATATATATATATATATATATATATATATATATATATATATATATATATATATATATATAGCCGTCAAAGATTGAGGAAAGATTTAAACGTTCGTACATATATATATATATATATATATATATATATATATATATATATATATATATATATATATATATATATATATATATATATATATATATATATAATATATAGTGTTCGATAACTGGATGATAAGAGTCGAGTGAGTTAAAGGAAATCTGTGGAACATTTGGTAGGGTAAAACTTGAGTCTGTATTTAGCACTTTATCTTTCACACAAATTTATATAAAGTTGTCATTATCATCTCTAGTAGGTGTTAACAGAACTAAACAATGAACGTCAGTGCTCTCTGCTCAGACTAAAGTTTACAGCCATGTAAATGAAACTTTTCACAAGCTCATGGCAAACATTAAGATATCCTTGCACAAAATAAATACATTGCATTCCAGCATGTCAGTAGCTGGTAAGTATGACTCTCTGGAGCCAGGGGCCATATTCACGAAGCATTTACACAAGCACTTACGAACCTGTACATCTTTTCTCTATTTTTGGCGGCTTTGTTTACAATTTATACAGATAATGAGCTCTGAAGCACCAGGAGGCTGTTTATAACAATAACAATAGTTGATTGGGAAGTTTTCATGCTAGTAAAGAGTTTAATAAATGTAACAAAAGCCGTCAAAGATTGAGGAAAGATTTAAACGTTCGTACTTGCGTAACTGCTTCGTGAATCTGGCCCTTGGACACTGCTGCCTGGGCCTCCAGTGGGGCTTCAGTATGCACAGTGATCTTTCCACAGACCCTTGAGAATCGGTCGTATTTAGACATTCTGAATGGATTATACTATACCGTATGAGACTGTTCGAACAGCGATTGTGTTGGTGTATATTTCCAAGGTTGGTAATTCAGTTTGTTCCAAATACGACAATTTCCTGAAGTGGACGATCAGTTTGGAGTGTGTGGAAGAGACGAGTTTGAGTTGTCAGGTTCGACCTGAATCTTAGATGGTGGTCAGCATGTTGTCTCGTGTTGCATGTGTGTGGCCAGTATATTACCTTGTTATGACACTTGTATATAAAGAGGGAAGTTAATAGTTTTATTAGTGTTGGGTTAGTTAAGTAGTTGGTGCTGGTTTAGAGAGGTCTCGTCTGTTTTATAATCTTATTTTTAAGATTTTCTAGTAGACTTTGTCAAATGTTCATACGTTTGTACCATAGGCGGAGGACCACAGGTGACTGTAGTACAGAAAATGATATGGATAAGAACTTAATTCACTGATTTCAGAGTTGAACATGAGAGATTATATCAAGTTGTGCCCAGCATCGCTCACGCCCGTTATCATAATTCTGTTAGACGGCCCAATGAGAGTTCCAATTCAGTTCCTCCTGAAAAAACAACAGCCCGGAAGGGGCGTGTGGATACTGTTTACGGAACTCGAGAAGAAGATGGGCCATAGTACTGACCCCTAGTGGCACCCTGTTGGACCCTAGTGGCACCCTGTTGGCCCCTAGTGGCACCCTGTTGGCCCTCTAGTGGCACCCCGTTGCTGGCCACTGTGAACTCTCTCCTCTTACTGACTCTGTGTACTGTGTTGTTGTTTAACCGTGTACCTGTGAATGTGTTTGTGTGCGTGCGTGCGTGAGTAATCGTGTGTATCTAGGTTGCATTAGTGCCTACCTTCCTGAGGCACCGGTGCGCCTTGAGGCTGCTCGAGGTGCTGAGAGGCAGTGGGGTAGGCTGACCAGATGGACTCTTTATCTTGGTAGTGTGACTGGCTGATTGACGGGTGAGCGTGTTTGCTGTGGGGCGGGGGTGTGGCGGACAGTTGTGGTGGACAGGTGTGGTGGACGGGTGGGGTGTAATATCTGTTACGAGATGTGTTGTGTGGGGGAGTAGGTTGATATAGTGATACAGTGTAACCGTTACCCGCACTATTGTGCTGTGGTGAGCTGACTGGCTGGTGTAGGCTAGTGCTGTCAACCTCGAATTAGAGGACTAGTTGGATGACTGAGGTGATTACTGTGGGTGACTGGGTAGTAGCTGAGGTGGTGCTGTGAGTCTTGTGGGAGAGACGGAGCACTGTCGCTACTGACAGTGACGAGCTGACAGACAGACGGGAGTGGGGTGGGTGAACGTGTGTGCGCATCGTGTGAGGAGCTTGTCTTATTATTGTGTTGCAGGTAGGCGTTTCTACGTCCACTTCTCACACTCATCTTCTCCCTCCTCCTCCTCCTCCTTCCTCAGCCTACCAAGGGAGCTCAACACCTCCATTAGCCAACGTAGCAAAGACGGGAACTAAGACCACACTGAAGCCCATAGTTTGCGTCCTATATAATCTCATAATATATAATCTCACTCCTGGTAGTCTGTGCTCCAACGTTCAGCAACCTCTTGTCTCCTTCCTCACATATATCAATAAATAAATTGGCTCAATTATCAATTTTATTTAAATATTTATAAAATACATTATCTTAAAACGAAACCTGAATCTTATTCAGTGAACAATTCCAGCAAAGATAAACCACAGTATAAGATCCATCAGAATATTCATTAGAGTACAGAACTAATGCACAGATAATATTCTCATTACAAAAATGCATTCACGTTACAAAGAGGCAAGACCGGTCCACCTCAGGCTACATATAGTGACTGAATGTGGTCCATAACTCGGCTTGGGCCAAGAGGTCGTGTGGACCGTCGTAGCATCATAGACCGGTATGAGGTGAGGTCAAACTTGGCTTCAGATCTCCTGAGTGACCCAGTGCTGTTATGAGGGACCACTGGGGCATGTATCTATAGCTGATGTACGGCAGATGGTGTCCCGGACAGGTGGTGAGGGAGGTGTTGCCTTACACAAGAAGATATGGAGGAGGGGGGAACCTGTTACAGGACAAGTGGTGAAACAAATAATTTCAGGGTAGGTGGTCGAAAATGTTAGTATAGGGTAAGTGGTCAAAAATGTTAGTACAGGATAAGTGGTCAAAAATGTTAGTACAGGGTAAGTGGTGAAAAATGTTAGTACAGGGTTGGTGGTCAAAAATGTTAGTACAGGATAAGTGGTCAAAAATGTTAGTACAGGATAAGTGGTCAAAAATGTTAGTACAGGATAAGTGGTCAAAAATGTTAGTAAAGGGTAGGTGGTCGAAAATGTTAGTATAGGGTCCATAGTCATGTGCTTTCTATGGCTCTCTAGCCATAGACAGCCTGCCCATGCACTCTGCCCCAGGTCCACACTCCTGGAATACTATATTCATCAAGAAGTGCAAAACACCACTATCACAGGCCCTAAACATCTTTTGGAGACGGAGCCTAGACTCTGACGTCATCTCTGACATACTTAAAACAGCGGAGATCGCGCCACTTCACAAAGGAGGTAGTAAAGCAGATGCAAACAAATATAGACCAATAGCTCTAACCTCAAACATAAAAAAAATCGTTGAAAGACAGGAGTAAGATAACAAATCACATGGACTCACAACATCTCCATAACCCTGGACAACACGGGTTCAGAACAGGGCGCTCCTGCCTCTCACAGTTGCTGGATCACTGTGACATGGCCGCAGGTGCCATGGAAGACAAGCAAACACAGATGTAATACACACAGACTTTACAAAAGGTTTAGACAAAGGTGACCATGGTGTTACTGCACACACAAAATGTGTGCAAAGGTAATTACTGGCAAAGTAGGGAGATGGATCTTCAACTTGCTAACGAACAGAACGCAGAGTGTAATAGTCAACACTGTAAAATCCCGATCATCTACTGTGAAAAGCTCAGTCCCCCAAGGTACCGTGCTTGTTCGGTACTTTTTCTCATCCTAATATCAGCCATAGACAAGGATACAAACTACAGCACTGTATCATTTGCAGATGACACTAAGATTTTCATGCGAGTAGACAATATAAAGGACACGGGAAACCTCCAATCTGATGTAAATCAGCTCTTTCAATGGGCCACAGACAGTAATATGACGTTTAATGAAAATAAGTTCCAGCTCCTGCGCTATGGAAAAATGAATATATAAAAACTGAAACCATATATAAATCACACTATAGAACGAAAAGCAAAGTAAAGGATTTAGGAGTAATAATGTCAGAAGACCTTACTTTTACAGAACACCATAAAGTAGATGTCACGACTGCAATAAAAATGACAGGTTGGATAACAAGGACCTTCCAAACAAGAGATGCCATACCAATGATGATACTTTTTCAAGGCTAGTTTATTCTTGGGTGGAATATTGTTGCACTAACAGCCCCATTCAGAGTCGGAGAAATTGCTGACCTGGAGAGCATGCAAAGATCCTTTAAAACTAGAATTCACTCTATAGCTCATCTTAATTATTGGGGCCGATTAAAAGTTCTTAATCTGTATTTTCTAGAGCACTGGGGAAAGAGATACATAACGTGGAAGATATTAGAGAACTGTTTCCAAACCTGCACACAGAAATAACACCACATGAGACCAGGAGGCATGGCAGGATGTGCAGAATATCCCCGTTGAAGAGCAGAGGTGCAACAGGTACTCTGACAGAGAACTATCAACATCAGAGGCCCGAGACTGTTCAACACGCTTCCACTACACATAAGGGACATAACTGGCCGACCCCTCACAGTGCTCAAGAGAGAACATGACAAAAACCTCCAAAGAATAACTGATCAACCAGGTTGTGATTCATACGTCAGGCTACGAGCAGCCGCGTCCAACAGCCTGGTTGACCAGACGACCAACCGGGAGGCTTGGTTGGAGACCTGGCCGCGGGGCCGTTGATCCCCGGAAGGAAGACACAGGGTAGGTAAGATAGGTGGTGGCAGAGGTATGTGGGAGCAGGTGATAAGGAATGATGCCTCAGGCAGTAAAGTAGCTGCACTTGTGTCTCAGGAGCGAGGGAATGTCACCTCACAGAAAGGGAAAAGGGGCAGTTGAGTGACTGATGAAGATTAAGCTACCCAAGAGTTGGCACGGGCATGAATAACCCGCAAGACTTGGGGTCACCTGGTTGTTACAGATACAGGTGACCCTAAATGGGGGTCACCAGGTACCAGGCCAGCTAACAGCTGGTGATCTGACGGTAATTGAGACTGAAACCGCTGTTGCCGCTGTCTTCAACTTCATCACCGTCCTGGTGCACGTAGAGCGAGAAGGGCTTCATGGTGGCTGGAATGAAGAACACATTTGTGTTAGTAAAAGTGAAACTAATTTATATGACTCAATTGTTTTTGAGTTCAGGATTTGATGAAATTTAAAACTATTTAAAATGTCTTCGTGAAGAACAAAACAGTTTTTCTTGATATAAGGATTTAAGTGGTGAAATATATTGGGTGTTCTAGGTGAAAGCACCACTTGGGGGGGGGGCAAGGTGCGGGTGTGGGGCAAGGTGCGGGTGTGGGGCAAGGTGCGGGTGTAGGGCAAGGTGCGGGTGTGGGGGCAAGGTGTGGGTGTGGGGGCAAGGTGCGGGTGTGGGGTCAAGGTGCGGGTGTGGGGGCAAGGTGCGGGTGTGGGGACAAGGTGTGGGGTAAAGGTGCGGGTGTGGGGCAAGATGCGGGTGTGGTTGAGCATAGTTGGAAGACTTACAGGTGACAGAGCTGAGGAACTTACAGGTGACAGAGCTGAGGAACTTACAGGTGACAGAGCTGAGGAACTTGCAGGTGACAGAGCTGAGGAACTTACAGGTGACAGAGCTGAGGAACTTACAGATGACAGAGCTGAGGAACTTACAGGTGACAGAGCTGAGGAACTTACAGGTGACAGAGCTGAGGAACTTACAGATGACAGAGCTGAGGAACTTACAGGTGACAGAGCTGGGGAACTTACAGGTGACAGAGCTGGGGAACTTACAGGTGACAGAGCTGGGAACTTACAATTGACAGAGCTGGGGAACTTACAGGTGACAGAGCTGAGGAACTTACAGGTAACAGAGCTGAGGAACTTACAGGTGACACAGCTGGGAACTTACAGGTGACAGAGCTGAGGAACTTACAGGTGACAGATCTGGGGGAACTTACAGGTGACAGAGCTGAGGGAACTTACAGGTGACAGATCTGGGGGAACTTACAGGTGACAGAGCTGAGGGAACTTACAGGTGACAGAGCTGAGGAGCTTACAGGTGACAGAGCTGAGGAGCTTACAGGTGACAGAGCTGAGGAGCTTACAGGTGACAGAGCTGAGGAACTTACAGGTGACAGAGCTGAAGAACTTACAGGTGACAGAGCTGAGGAGCTTACAGGTGACAGAGCTGAGGAGCTTACAGGTGACAGAGCTGAGGAGCTTACAGGTGACAGAGCTGAGGGAGCTTACAGGTGACAGAGCTGAGGAGTTTACAGGTGACAGAGCTGAGGGAACTTACAGGTGACAGAGCTGAGGAGCTTACAGGTGACAGAGCTGAGGGAGCTTACAGGTGACAGAGCTGAGGGAGCTTACAGGTGACAGAGCTGAGGGAACTTACAGGTGACAGAGCTGGGGAACTTACAGGTGACAGAGCTGAGGGAACTTACAGGTGACAGAGCTGAGGAACTTACAGGTGACAGAGCTGAGGAACTTACAGGTGACAGAGCTGAAGAACTTACAGGTGACAGAGTTGGGGAACTTACAGGTGACAGAGCTGAGGGAACTTACAGGTGACAGAGTTGGGGAACTTACAGGTGACAGAGCTGGGGAACTTACAGGTGACAGAGCTGAGGAACTTACAGGTGACAGAGCTGAAGAACTTACAGGTGACAGAGTTGGGGAACTTACAGGTGACAGAGTTGGGGAACTTACAGGTGACAGAGTTGGGGAAGCCAAGGCCACAGTAGCGGTCGTTGGAGACGCCGGTGTCGGCCACACCGCCCGGAATTATAACGTAGTCCGTCGTGCAGTCGACGCCTGACCCACCTCCCAGTGCTGTACCTGCAATGGTGCCACTGGGGGTCACTCGCGGGGTCACTGGGGTCACTCCCGGGGTCACTGGGGTCACTCCCGGGGTCACTGGGGTCACTCCCGGGTCACTAGGGTCACTCCCGGGACACTGGGTATCGTAAACTACTTAGGAAATATCAGTTAGGAAACGATGATGGCGGTGACTGGCCCAGGCCACACGACTGGCCCAGGCCACACGACTGGCCCAGGCCACACGACTGGCCTGGTTCTTGAGGACGTAATTAGCAATAACTAACTACCGTTACCTTTAAAGAGAATAATATAAGTGGAGCCTCTGTCGGGGACAATATAATTGGCATAGTCATGGTCTGTGCTTCTTATATTGACCTTTGTGTGCAATGTATATGATTTTTACCATGAATTACAAGTGAATATTATGTGAGCGTGGATGCCGTACTTGGATCAGGGGGCGGTAAGGAAGACATGGCCTCTGGACCCATGTCTATAAGGGGGGTTCCAAGGACAGAGATACGCCCCCCAAGTGCCCCGGAATACTGGGGTGCTACGAACCTCCACCCAGGACACCTTCACCCATGTCCCTATGTCTTCCATACTCACCCGTCTCAACACACGTCCATTCCACTGTCAGTTTTGGACCGGATTATTACCCTTTACTTTCCTTGACGTCTTATATCTTCACTCTTTCAATAACCAGTTTTGTTATAGTGTCCCCGAAGGTATGAACTCCAGGTGTGGAAGCTTTACATTTAAAGTAACTAATTCTTAATAGAAGAGAAGCAAAAGTGGGAATAATGAGTTGCATGAGACACAAGCTTCCCATAACCCAGCAGGCCAGCTCCAGGGACTCCTTGCTAAGTATTGTGTGTTGTCTTGGAGACACGGAGATTGCCAGTGATGAAGCATAAAGGCTTTTATGCTAAAATGTTGCTAAATGTTGCTATTTTATGCTAAAATAAATGTTGCAAAGCGTTGCAACATTTCACCAGGGCAAGGAGGAACGTGAGTTGACCAGACCACACACTAGAAGGTGAAGGGACGACGACGTTTCGGTCCGTCCTGGACCATTCTCAAATCGACTGTCGACTTGAGAAAGGTGAAGGGACGACGACGTTTCGGTCCGCCCTGGACCATTCTCAAGTCGACTGTCGACTTGAGAATGATCCAAGACGGACCGAAACGTCGTCGTCCCTTCACCTTCTAGTGTGAGGTCTGGTCAACATACTTTAGCCACGTTATTGTGACTCATCGCCTGCATAAGGAGCCTGAGGTTACACCTCTCCTCGCTCAACATACCACTAAATATCAAACAATGGGTCTCTAAAAAGCCAATTCAGTCGAGTAATGATTACTGCTGAAAATGTGATCATTACTGGCCAGTGGATGCTCACTTACCTATTACAGATTCGTCAGAAGCATTAGCGTTGCCACTGACGGTGAAACTGTAGTTGCCGTTGGTGGTGTTACGCTCCCAGATGATGCCACAGTAGCCGTCCGCCATCTCCACGCACACACCGTAGTCCAGGTCGGCGATCTGACTCGTTCCTGAGAGTAAAAGATTTATTCAGCATTAAAATGGTCATCTATAAGATGGTTTGAGTCACGACACCCTCCTTGAGGGGGCTTAGTCTACAGGATAGCGAGAGCGACTAAGTTGCTATCTACTTGACACAGGAATGATGTGTTCCTGGATATTTGTCCCTGTCACACTCCCACTTGTTATCATGTCCCTGTCACACCCCACTTGTGTTACCTTGTCCCTGTCACACCCCACTTGTGTTACCTTGTCCCTGTCACACCCCACTTGTGTTACCTTGTCCCTGTCACACACCCCACTTGTGTTATCTTGTCCCTGTCACACCCCCACTTGTGTTATCTTGTCCCTCTCACACTCCCAATTGTGTTACCTTGTCCCTGTCACACTCCACTTGTGTTACCTTGTCCCTGTCACACCCCACTTGTGTTACCTTGTCCCTGTCACACTCCACTCGTGTTACCTTGTCCCTGTCACACCCCACTTGTGTTACCTTGTCCCTGTCACACCCCACTTGTGTTACCTTGTCCCTGTCACACTCCCACTTGTGTTACCTTGACCCCTGTCACACCCCCACTTGTGTTACCTTGCCCCTGTCACACCCCCACTTGTGTTACCTTGACCCCTGTCACACCCCCACTTGTGTTACCTTGTCCCTGTCACACCCCACTTGTGTTACCTTGACCCCTGTCACACCCCCACTTGTGTTACCTTGTCCCTGTCACACTCCCACTTGTGTTACCTTGACCCCTGTCACACCCCCACTTGTGTTACCTTGCCCCTGTCACACCCCCACTTGTGTTAGCTTGACCCCTGTCACACCCCCACTTGTGTTGCCTTGACCCCTGTCACACCCCCACTTGTGTTACCTTGTCCCTGTCACACCCCCACTTGTGTTACCTTGTCCCTGTCACACTCCCACTTGTGTTACCTTGTCCCTGTCACACCCCCACTTGTGTTACCTTGTCCCTGTCACACCCCCACTTGTGTTACCTTGTCCCTGTCACACCCCCACTTGTGTTACCTTGTCCCTGTCACACCCCCACTTGTGTTACCTTGTCCCTGTCACACCCCCACTTGTGTTACCTTGTCCCTGTCACACCCCCACTTGTGTTACCTTGCCCCTGTCACACTCCCACTTGTGTTACCTTGTCCCTGTCACACCCCACTTGTGTTACCTTGTCCCTGTCACACACCCCACTTGTGTTACCTTGTCCCTGTCACACACCCCACTTGTGTTACCTTGTCCCTGTCACACCCCACTTGTGTTACATTGCCCCTGTCACACCCCACTTGTGTCCTGAATCATTCAGTTAATTGCTAATCAATCAATAATAATCAATATGCAGAACAATAGCTTATTGCAGCTGTTAAGATGTAAGGAAGGATTCGGTCAATCAAGCAGTCTTCCAGTCATTAAGCAGCTATACCCTCACCCTGCAGTAGCAGCCAGCTCCAGGTAAACAAGCTGTACAGCTGTCATCACCCACCTGCAGGAGGAGTGGGCGGCAAGGGGCTGAAGTCGAAGCTGTTGACGGTGCCCGAGGTGGCTGTGTGGTACTGCAGGCATCCGCTAGGGGCTGCCGGTCACCCAGGAACAGTGAGCCAAAATATAATGTTAACATTCACGTAACGTAATTAACATGAAATAGTTGGTCTTTATTGGCACGAATTGTTGTGTGTGTATATGAGTGAAAGATTAGTGTGTGTGTGTGCCTAAGTATGACTGTATTCGTATGTCGTGTATAATTGTATATAGCTGTATGTCCGGGCATACACGCGACGCCTGTATGTGTGGCGTCGTGTGAGTGTATGTGTGTCTTGACATGTCTCACTTCTTGGGGAATTTGTGTGTATCCTTATATATGTGTCCAGGTACTTTGCTCCAAATATATGTGTGTCCAGGCATTAATCTACGTAATGAAAACTGACAGCACTTAATTTTAGCATTAATTTACTACTGATATAACCCTTATTAATAAAGAGAGAGACAAAAGGAGGTACACAGTAGTTGTGTGCGTGTGCTGGTTCATGTTCGCGTGCACGCGCGTGTGTACGTGTGTGTGTGTGTGTGTGTGTAGGTGAATGGAAGGGCATTATCAGGGGAAAGTGCCAAACCATTACGACTACATTGGAAAGGATCAGAATAAGGATTGTGGATGGGACGGGGAGGGAAGGAATGGTGCCCAACCACTTGGACGGTCGGGGATTGAACGCCGACCTGCATGAAGCTCTACCGTCGCTCTACCGTCCAGGCCAGGTGGTTGGGTATATGTGTAGGTGAGTGAGTTTACACTGTAGCTGAGGACGAGGAGTTACAATAACGTGGCCGAAATATGTTGACCAAACCACACACTAAAAAGTGAAGGGACGACAACGTTTCGGTCCATCCTGAACCACAATCGACTTGAGAATGGTCCCGGACGGACCGAAACGTCGTCGTCCCTTCACTTTCTAGTGTGTGGTCTGGTCAACACAGTAGCCAAGTTTACATTGTATCGTGAGAGGTGTACTGCGTCTACTCACCCTTGTGCTGGGAGCTGCAAGAGATCTGCGTCACCTTGATGTTCCAGGAGCGGGTGACGTCGGTCCCGGAGCGGTCCACCGTCACCCTCACCGGTCCACCGACCGGGTCCACGTCCAGGTACACTGCGGGTAAAGCGGTGGGTAGTTATACCCGCTTCAGTATACCCGCACGCGGTTCGTACCTGCTCACAGCGTGCCTCCCACCACGTTATCTTGAACCTTGCGCTCTCATGTCATTATGTAGTTACACTGGTTATCACAGTGTGGCCTGTGTTATACTGGCTATCACGGTGTAGCCTGTGTTACTGGCCATGGTAGAGCCTATGGTACACTGGTTATCATGGTACAGTCTATGGTATACTGCAGGCGATGAGTCACAATAACGTGGCTGACATGTTGACCAGACCACACACTAGAAGTTGAAGGGACGACGACGTTTCGGTCCGTCCTGGACCATTCTCAAGTCGATTGTGTATACTGGTTTGCAAGCTGAAGATTCTACACCATGTTGGCTCTAAATTGAAGCCTGAAGGTTGGAAGCTGTATATGCTTAAGCTTTGATAGATAGAGGTTGTAAGTTGAAAATATGCAGTTTGAAAGGAATATGATGGGGCATCGAAGGCTGAAGGGGATAGGTCAAGGACACAGGCTTCTGTTCGGACGAGTCTGAGGGCCAGGGGCCAGATTCACGAAAGCACTTACGAACCTGTACATCTTTCCTCAATTTTTGACGGCTTTGGTACATTTATTAAACAGTTTACAAGCATGAAAACTTCCCATTCAACTGTTGTTATAGTTATAAACAGCCTCCTGGTGCTTCGGAGCTCATTAACTGTTTAATAATTGTAAACAAAGCCGCCGAAGATTGAGAAAAGATGTACAGGTTCGTAAGTGCTTGCGTAAGTGCTTTCGTGAATCTGGCCGCTGGAAGCTGATAGTTACTATATGTGGAAGGTTGTTGCATTAGATGCACATTCCTCAGCCACTACAATGATTAGAAAAGCCGTTAAAGAATGGGACTCACTAGTGAACATTCTACATCCGCTACCTAGATAATGTTATTTAAACACGACTAAAACAGAAGCGAAAAAGAAACAGGGGAAAAGGAGGACACCCCACCTCCATTTAAAACTTTGACTCATATATCAGAGTAACAAGGTTACTGCGAGTAACCGAAGTCAATTACGGGCTCACCATAGCCCGTGCTACATTGACATTTCGTTTAGAGTAGCTAAATCTAAAACAACAACATATGGAAGGTTGACGGTGCGAGGTCGTACTAACTGTGCTGTCCGTCGTTGGAGCCGCAGATTCTTGGCACCGTAGTGGACGGGGTGACGGTGAGGAAGTCAACGTTACAGTTTCCGTTCTCATCCGGCTGCGCCAGCTGGAAGTTGAGGAAGTCAAGGCGCAGCTGGCAAATATTGGAGTCGACGCGGAACACTGTGAGCGTACAGGCGCCCGCTCCGATGTCGGTGCCGTTGTAACTGGGGTTGACAAAGTAGGTGTTGTTGTAGCTGGTAGACTCCCCGCAGCTACGACGACCTGTTGGGTAATGCAGATCAGTCACGGGGCAGATTCACGAAGCAGTTACGCAAGCACTTACGAACCGCCTCAATCTTTGGCGGCTTTGTTTACAATTATTAAACAATTAATGAGCTCCGAAGCACCCGGAGACTGTTTATAACAATAACAACGCTTGATTGGGACGTTTCCATGCTTGTAAACTGTTTAATAAATGTAACAAAAGCCGTCAAAGATTGAGGAAAGATGTACACTGGCCAGATTCACGAAAGCACCTACGCAAGCACTTACGAACCTGTACATCTTTTTTCAATCTTTGGCGGCTTTGTTTCTAATTATTAAACAGTTAATGAGCTCCGAAGCACCAGGAGGCTGTTTATAACAGTAACAACAGTTGAATGGGAAGTTTTCATGCTTGTAAACTGTTTAATAAATGTAACCAAAGCCGTCAAAGATTGAGGAAAGATGTACACGTTCGTAAGTACTTGCGTAACTGCTTCGTGAATCTGGCCCCTGGGCATTTTAATACGACAGTTTCGTGACGTTGGGAACCCCAAGGAGGACGGACTGGTGAAAGAAGACGTGTGAAGCATGAGGGGGGGGACTGACCTATGCAGCAGACACCGAAGCCCCTGGCGCAGGTTCCTGAGAATGTTCCCCCGCTCCGGGTGCAGTCTGTAGAGGGCAGACACGTGCCCGTCGTCAGGCTGGGGTCTGAGCTGTTGCACTCGTCTGGCTGTATCCTCAGCAGCACGAAGAATGCTGCACACACCACAAAAGCATACATTGTAGCTGAGGACAATAGCCTAATTTATTCTGCAGCATAGAGCACTAACCTGGCATCCTAACCTAAAAAAAACATTGTATTTCCAATTGTCTAAAATAAGCAGAATTTGTTATATTGTTCAGTATTTAAGGCCATCAATAATAACTTTTCAAAATTTATAAATTAATCTGCCTAGTTAATTTTTTTTTAATTTTGCCCCGAGGGGCGAGTTTATTGGGCAGCGCCACTCATCCTGTGAGTGGACACACCGCCATAGTGACAGTATTGGGCAGCGCCACTCATCCTGTGAGTGGACACACCGCCATAGTGACAGTATTGGGCAGCGCCACTCATCCTGTGAGTGGACACACCGCCATAGCAGCATGTACAACACTCCCCAATAGGAAGAAAACCCGCTGGGTTGTTCATCCTGTCACTTATACCATGGCAAGCAGAGTCCTGCCTAGCTGGACAATTATATCTTCAAATGTTAGAAAATAACTTTAGGAATTCTATATAGTCTTTGCGAAGATGTCTTGAAATGGAAAAACCCTGGTCTTCGAGAAGGTTTTCGGTAACCTGTCATGCCAAGACTTGACCTGGCGAGATATTACCCTGATGTGGCAAGACATTAACCTGACCTGACAAGACATTAACCTGACCTGGCAAGACATTAACCTGACCTGACAAGACATTAACCTGACCTGGCAAGACATTAACCTGACCTGACAAGACATTAACCTGACCTGGCAAGACATTAACCTGACCTGGCAAGACATTAACCTGACCTGGCAAGGCATTAGAGAGCCCATCTGAGATCAGTGACACACTTAGAGCACCAGGTGACCTGACCTTTATCCCGTCTCTCACTCTGGGAGATAACTCCTCTATGTTGCTCCATCTCTCCTTGTGCTGGGCTCACTTCCTCGAGTGCTGGGCTCACTCCGTCGTGTGCTAGGCTCACTTCCTCGAGTGCTGGGCTCACTTCCTCGAGTGCTGGGCTCACTTCCTCGAGTGCTGGGCTCACTTCCTCGAGTGCTGGGCTCACTTCCTCGAGTGCTGGGCTCACTCCGTCGTATGCTTGGGTAGGGTCTGAAGGTGCTGCCAAGACAACGCCCACGGTGAGCACCACCGCCCACAGCAGTCTCACGGTGCTCCCAGGAGTCCGAAAGCACTGTGGGAGGTGAGGAGGGGGGGGGGTGATACAGCTGCAGTTACTGTGACAGTTTTGTGTTATAAGTTACGTAACCTGTAAGGTGTTACGGTGAATCTAGTGTAACAAGTTACCGTGACCCAGGAATTCTCTAACGGTGAATCGATGATAGCGGTTCGATACCCCAAATGATTTTATGAATATTTTCTATTAATTAAACAAACTCGGAGATTCATACGAACAAAATTCACTATAAGTCTAAAGTGATTAGAAAGTTACGAATGTCAGCCATTTTGGACAGTCTAAATTTTCTTCCAGAGTTGAAGTGGTCTGTAATTTTCATGATTTACGGACGGTACAGTGTGAGTTGTGGTACAGTGAGAGTTGTGGTACAGTGTGGGTTGTGGTACAGTGAGAGTTGTGGTACAGTGTGAGTTGTGGTACAGTGTGGGTTGTGGTACAGTGTGGGTTGTGGTACAGTGAGAGTTGTGGTACAGTGAGAGTTGTGGTACAGTGTGGGTTGTGGTACAGTGAGAGTTGTGGTACAGTGTAGGTTGTGGTACAGTGTGGGTTGTGGTACAGTGTGGGTTGTGGTACAGTGTGGGTTGTGGTACAGTGTGGGTTGTGGTGAATGGAATATTGATTTCCACGGATGTGTGACTGACAATTAATATGGCGTGGGCGTGGATCACTAATTCCTCTGAGCTTCAGTAGTAGTCAGGGAAAGTTCCAACATTTCAGTTTGGCAGCAGTAGTTGCTTCTGGAATCTTTCCTTATTAAGACCACTCATAGCCCAGTCGATAGAGCTTCGGCCTCACACGATTTATATATATATATATATATATATATATATATATATATATATATATATATATATATATATATATATATATATATGTATATATATATATTATAATAATAATAATATGTTGTTGAATATGACCGAAAGGGTAAGATTAATGAGTCTAACACGAATCTTCTCAATATTTCTTACGTTTTTCTTCACTGTCGGGGAGTAATTGAAAAATTAACTCTCCAAAGTTCATTTTCTCATTTTTCTTTGTGGTCTGACGCCTGAAAGTGTTTCTCAAGGACTTTTCACATTTTCAAGGACAGGTTTTTACACACATCATTTCATGCTTATATTCGTTTTTGGGTGAGGTGATATGACAAATGTTTTTGGGTGAAGTGACAGAAGACTGACCACGAAACAATGAGTATATTGCATATTTGCTGCTTCTATATTGCTCTTCCTGCTTCTATGTTGGTTCAGGGTTTTGAAGTGGGTAGAATATAGTTATTTGTTAATTGACTGTTGATTGCTGGTGTTGACTTTTTGATGTGTAGTGCCTCGCTGATGTCGAGCCTCCTGCTATCGCTGTATCTATCGATGCTTTCTGTGTTGCCAAGATTTCTCTGGTGATTGTTTGGTTGTGAGAAGAGATTATATATTTCTTGATGCAGCCCTGTTGTTTGTCGCCTTGCACAAACATATATTGCACAACAACAGGGCTCCATCAAGGAACATATAATCTCCTCACACCAGACCATCACCCGAGAAATCTTAACAAGCAACACAGAAATCATCGATAGATACAGCGATAACAGGAGACTCGACATCAGCGAGGCACTACACATCAAAAAGTCAACACCAGCAATCAACAGATAACTATATTCTACCCACTTCAAGACCCTGAACCAACATAGAAGCAGCAAGAGCAATATACCCATTGTTTCGTGTCCTGTCTTCTGTCAGTTCACCCAAAACATTTGTGTCATATCACCTCACCCAAAAACGAATATAAGCCTGAAATGATGTGTATAAAAACCTGTCTTTGAAAATGTGAAAAGTCCTTGTGAAACGCTTTTAGGCGTCAGACCATAAAGAAAAATGAGAAAATGAACTTTGGAGCGTTAATTTTTCAATTACCCCCGACAGTGAAGAAAAACGTAAGAAATAATGAGAAGATTCGTGTTAGAATCATTAATCATACCCTTTCGGTCATATTCCGAAAGGGTAAGCCCCGTTCGGAATATGACCCTACCCTACCGGTATATTCTATCCAATAAATAAATGCTGAAATCAAGTAATATTGTTTTTCATATATTACAAAAAATTTCGACACAATGTCCTTATGTTAACTAATATATTACACTTACTGATTCTCGTAAGTCATCAGTCTTACCATTATATAATGGACTAATTTTTATCTATTATTTATTTATTTATATATATACAAGAAGGTACATTGGGTTTGTGAGAATACATTGGATAGTACAGTATTTACACTCTTGTAAAGCCACTAGTACGCGCAGCGTTTCGGGCAGGTCCTTAATCTAACCGATAATTTTAAGTAGGTAATTTCTATCAGAATTGATAAATGATAAAGATAAAGATAAATTATAGACTAATTATCCCCCATTGGGGCGTTTTTTCATTTCACTTATAACAGTTATGTATATGTTAATGCCACACATTCTGCAAACATGTAATTGTGTACAATAAAGTTGACAATCAAATAAGGGGATGGTAGGAGAAAGATTTTTGTTTTAATTATCAGGGGAAAGCGCCAAGTCATTAGGACTATATAGCACTGGGAAGAGGTCAGGGATGGGACGGGGGGAAGGAATGGTGCCCAACCACTTGGATAGTCAGGGATTGAACGCCGACCTGCATAAAGCGAGACCGTCGCTCTACCGCCCACCCCAAGTGGTTGGGTGTGGGAGAAAGAAATACTCAAGAAATCATGAACACCTTGCCTTAATTAAGATGATTTCGGGTCTCAACGTCCCTGCGGCCCGGTTCTCGACCAGGCCTCCTATCGTGAGATCTATCTTGAGATGATTTCGGGGTTTAGTGTCCCCGCGGCCCGGTCCTCGACCAGGCCTCCTCTTCGTTACACCCCCTTCCCCCCAGGAAGCAGCCCGTAGCAGCTGTCTAACTCCTAGGTACCTACTACCTCCCAGGTACCTATTTACTGCTAGGTAACAGGGGCATCAGGGTAAAAGAAACATTTTGCCCATTTGTCTCCGCCTCCACCGGGGATCGAACCCGGAACCTCAGGACTACTAATCCGAAGCTCTGTCCACCCAGCTGTCAGGCGCCCTATGACAAATTCTCCCTAAATAATCCGTCCACTTCTCCAAGGTTATGGACTAATGATAATAAATCAAGAGTCCTCCCAGCAGCCACCTGTAGCAATACTTAGATAAATATCTAAAGTTTTAAATATAAATTGATAGAAATTCAACGTGATAATTTAAGAACACTAATACTGACCGATTATTAAAGCAGTATTAATGCCAAATTGTAGAATTACTGCCAAATTTTGTACCAAATTGTACCAAATTTCTTACAATTTTTGGCACATTATTTGCCAATAATATGGGCTTGGAGAAGTGGAGTACAACACTCTGGACAGCTTACCTGCATTGTGGCGACTGTGTGGGTCTCCTCCCTGGTGTTGACGGTCCGTGGACGCCCTCCAGCAACTGACGGAGACCTTACAGCCACAGCTTCCCTGGTGTTGACGGTCGTGGACGTCCTCCAGCAACTGACGGAGACCTTACAGCCACAGCTTCCCTGGTGTTGACGGTCGTGGACGTCCTCCAGCAACTGACGGAGACCTTACAGCCACAGCCTCCCTGGTGTTGACGGCCGTGGACGTCCTCCAGCAACTGACGGAGACCTTACAGCCACAGCCTCCCTGGTGTTGACGGCCGTGGACACACTGCAGCGACTGACGGAGACCTTACAGCCACAGCCTCCCTGGTGTTGACGGCCGTGGACGTCCTCCAGTAACTGACGGAGACCTTACAGCGGCAGCTTCCCTGGTGTTGACGGTCGTGGACGTCCTCCAGTAACTGACGGAGACCTTACAGCGGCAGCTTCCCTGGTGTTGACGGTCGTGGACGTCCTCCAGTAACTGACGGAGACCTTACAGCGGCAGCTTCCCTGGTGTTGACGGTCGTGGACGCCCTCCAGCAACTGACGGAGACCTCCCGACGGCAGGTTTATAAAAGCTCTGCGGGGCGGCGGGTATCTGGGTTGTGGGCGCCGCCAGCCCCTAGCTGGACGGGTCAGCATTCGGGACAAGCAATGACTTGCTTCTCGCTGTTGATCTCCCCTACAGCTGCTGTATAACAGTAATACAGCTGCTGTATAACAGTATTACAACTGCTGTATAACAGTAATACAGTTCCTGTATTACTACTACTACTTCGCTACTTTAATAACAATAATAAAGTTAATACTCTGGCTGTATCAAATTTTTTACAAAATGTTTAGTAATATTAAGTAATAAATTAAGTAATAAAATCTATACGATCCATATCTATGAAGTTACTTTTTTCTGTTTTTGTTCAGAGATTAAGTGAACAATTTATATTTATTTTGTACATTTTAGAAAAATTTTCATTTGCCAATTTAATACATATTGCAGAACTGCATATATACTTTTAAATGTTACCAAACGTGTAAATACATAGTTGAAGCATTTATTTGATTTTGAATTCTTTACTGGCTATTTATTTCCAGAATTTAAAGTCTCAAAGAGTTCATTTTTAACACTGAGTGTGTTTAACACCATATTAAGTGTAAATCCTGTGAAGACGGACATGGGTTGTCCACTCATATGTGGAATGTCCTGTCATGTGGGTTGACCTGTCATATGTGGGTTGACCTGTCATATGTGGGTTGTCCTCACACATGTGGGTTGTCCTCACATATATGTATTGTCCTCACATACGTGGTACAGTACACATCTTGTAGCAGAGGCTGGGATTTCGTAATGTAGATAATAGCTATAATACAAATAATAATAATTGTTAAACTCTGTGACTCCTCACAGGATTCGAACCCAGGCCACCAGAGATCTTTCACCAGCATCAATTACACGTGTATCGGGTCTTTCCTTCACCTTCATTCAAGCTATACGGTAATGTAGAAAGTTTTTCACTGTTAATAATACAATCATACACCAACAACAGCACGATTAACATTAATATTAACAACATTAATCATACTGTCAATTATAATAATTGGTATGATAGTATTATACTAGTAATAGTTATTGTATAATAATGATCATTATTATACAATTATATATTGTAAAGAAAATAATATTTAAAATTATATATGACACTATTTATATTGTAAATATGTATTGTTATACAATTTAGATCCGGTTGAAGCATTAGACAATATATATATATATATATATATATATATATATATATATATATATATATATATATATATATATATATATATATATATATATATATATATATATGTAAAAGTTAAATAGTGAACATTTTATGAACAATGGAAGTAAATAACATAATTGTTCGTTAAGAAATTAGACACAAGACAAAAGTAGAGGACAAATGTGAACATTTCCAACTGGCGAGGAAGGCACCTAAGTACACCGTATATTAGTATCAGAAATAATAATAATAATACCAATTTATTTCCAAGAAGGTACAATGGGTTGGAGACATTACATATGATTGGTATTTTTACATTCATGCAAAGCCACTAACACGCATAGCGTTTCGAACAGGTCCTTAATCTAACATATCAGGTATCTTCTTGAGGTTATCTTGAAATGATTTCGGGCCTTTTTAGTGTCCCCGCGGCCCGGTCCTCGACCAGGCCTCCACCCCCAGGATGCAGCCCGTGATAGCTGACTAACACCCAGGTACCTATTTTACTGCTAGGTAACGGGGGCATAGGGTGAAAGAAACTCTGCCCATTGTTTCTCGCCGGCGCCTGGGGTCGAACCCAAGACCACAGGATCACAAGCCCAGTGTGCTGTCCGCTCGGCCGACCGGCTCCCTCAGCCGGCTCAGCTCCGGTAAGATGAAAGGGTTTTATATCACCAAATTTTTATATCACCAAATTTTTATATCACCAAATAACTACAATATAAGTAGCCAGCGGTGATTTCACTGGTAAATATAATGGTAGCAGTGAATTGTATGTTACAATCATCTGTGTTGCTAATCCGAAATCAGGGTGAGAGTATAAGGGTCAGTGGACCCTTATACTCTCACCCTGACTTCGTCTTGACATATATAACAAACTATAAGTGTTGCTTATGGTACACACCCACGTAAGGTAGGCTGCCATGACTATTTGTTTGCGTATATTGTGGCGGCCACGGGGGCGGCCGGGGCGCAACCTGCTCCTCTATTGTTATTTAAATATGTTTTCATATTTATGCGTGAAAGTGTGAGGTACGAGTTTACCGTTGTCATGGTGTAATGTAAACCGCTGGAGAGTATACGTGAAACTTTTAGACGCTTACAATATATTCTTTGGCGTCCACTGGTCGCGGGCAAATACAATATTTTTGTTTAGCTGTCCTTGTTGTAGATGTTGTGTTTGGGTGTGTGTGTTCTCTTGTTGTGGATGTTCTTGCTTGTGTTTGGGTGTGTGTTCTCTTGCTGTGGATGTTCTTGCTTGTGTTTGGGTGTGTGTTCTCTTGCTGTGGATGTTCTTGCTTGTGTTTGGGTGTGTGTTCTCTTGCTGTGGATGTTCTTGCTTGTGTTTGGGTGTGTGTTCTCTTGTTGTAGATGTTCTTGCTTGTGTTTGGGTGTGTGTTCTCTTGCTGTAGATGGTCTTGCTTGTGTTTGGGTGTGTGTTCTCTTGTAGATGTTCTTGCTTGTGTTTGGGTGTGTGTTCTCTTGCTGTAGATGTTCTTGCTTGTGTTTGGATGTGTGTTCTCTTGTAGATGTTCTTGCTTGTGTTTGGGTGTGTGTTCTCTTGCTGTAGATGTTCTTGCTTGTGTTTGGATGTGTGTTCTCTTGTAGATGTTCTTGCTTGTGTTTGGGTGTGTGTTCTCTTGCTGTAGATGTTCTTGCTTGTGTTTGGGTGTGTGTTCTCTTGCTGTAGATGTTCTTGCTTGTGTTTGGATGTGTGTTCTCTTGTAGATGTTCTTGCTTGTGTTTGGGTGTGTGTTCTCTTGCTGTAGATGTTCTTGCTTGTGTTTGGGTGTGTGTTCTCTTGTAGATGTTCTTGCTTGTGTTTGAGTGTGTGTGTTCTCTTGCTGTAGATGTTCTTGCTTGTGTTTGGGTGTGTGTTCTCTTGCTGTAGATGTTCTTGCTTGTGTTTGGATGTGTGTTCTCTTGCTGTAGATGTTCTTGCTTGTGTTTGAGTGTGTGTTCTCTTGCTGCAGATGTTCTTGCTTGTGTTTGGATGTGTGTGTTCTCTTGTTGTAGATGTTCTTGCTTGTGTTTGGGTGTGTGTTCTCTTGTTGTAGATGTTCTTGCTTGTGTTTGGGTGTGTGTTCTCTTGTTGTAGATGTTCTTGCTTGTGTTTGGGTGTGTGTTCTCTTGTTGTAGATGTTCTTGCTTGTGTTTGGATGTGTGTTCTCTTGCTGTAGATGTTCTTGCTTGTGTTTGGGTGTGTGTGCTTGCGATAAATGTTCCTCACTGTGCTTTGGTTGGTGTTTTTGCTGTAGTGATTTTAGTTTGTATTTGTGTGTACTGAGCTCCAGCTCCTGGTCCTGCATTTACTTTTTAGCCCTGAGTCATCCAGATGAGTAATTCTCGACTCTCGTACGTCGGTAAATAAAAATATATGATTATGAAAACAAAGTGTTTAATAATAATAATAATATTAATATTATTATTATTATCATGAAGAGGTAAACAAACCATAGGCTAGCGCCTATGGAGATGTTTGTAAATTGACTTAATTCGTATATAAGAAAGAAAACGAAAATTATCCTGTTCAGTTATGGCATTAAACTGTCCCAGCGGACGCGACCCCAAATCATGTCTACCACAGTAACTGTGGTAGTTACTACCACAGTAACTGGTAGGGACGCGCGGAACTATGCTAACATGTGACTGGTTGTGACATAACGTTTCTTGTATGTTATGTGTTTTAAAAACTATGTTTTTATGGTTTGAAAACAAAGTTCAGCTCCTCGCTGGCGCCATTTACGTCATCCACTCACGTGACAGATAGTTATAATGACTATTTGAGAGCTGAAATTTAGCCAATGACTGAAAAGCTTCGTGACTCAATACTGTTTCTCAAGCTGTGCTTCCTCTTTCCACAACGCAAAATTCAGTATGACAAACTCTTGAAAGCAATAACCATGAAAGTGTTAAACCTCTCCCTGAAAGAGGACCAAGGGGACCAAGCATATATACCTATAGCCCTATACCCCATATTTACCCGTATACCCCGCATACCTCAACCCGTTCTCGCACTTTCTTATAGTCAATATTGACTTATTAAATACGTGCATATGTGACATACTAATTTATTGTGAATGTTTTAGTTTACCTTGAAAAGCTTCTTAGAAAACACCGACCTTACCTAACCTTCTTAGTATGTTAAGATAAGGATCTTATTGCTTCTTAATTACAATTATTACTATACCTATTATAGGTATAGGTTAAGTAATAATTGTAATT